AGTTTTAAGCTAGCTCCATGGAAGTCACTCATCGCAGAGTTGAGAGGAATATACACAGACCGCTCTTCTGAGCAGGGCTGAGCTGACTCTAGCACGCGGCTGGTCCTGCGGGATGCTCTGCTGTGCGATATAGAGCACAGTCTGGGCGCTGAGCAAAGAGAAGGGAGCTAGAGATATGCGGTTTACGTGAAGCCATGGGAGTGGAGAAAACCAGTAATGGGAGACATCTCTATAAGGAAAGAGGAGTCAGAAAAAGAGCAGCTAAAGAGACAGGAGAGTCGAAAGAAAACCAGATTCATGAAATACAGGAAAAGAACTAGTTTCAGGAAGGAAGGTGTGGTTAAAAGTGTCAAGTACCAGACAGAGATCAGGTAGCCTAAGGACTTAAAAGAGGTCATCGGCATTACCAGTGAAGCTGTCTTTCTGTGTTTGAGATATTTTTCTATTTTTCTACATTGAAACTATTTTGTAATCTTAAAAAAGACAACACATATGCCTCTTTTTTTCTTTTTAAGGAGATCATTAATGAATTTGGACAGAACACACTCAGTGGTGGCAGCAAGAGTTGGCCTGAAGTGGGCCTGAGAGTTTCGATAAAAGGGAAGGAGCAGAGATGAAATTTGGCTATTAAGAGAAGGAATTTGGCTATTAAGAGAAGGAGCGCTTAAAGGGTGGTATATTGGAAGGATGGCTTTTTTTTTTTTTAAGATTTTCTTTCTTTCTTTCTTTTTTTTTTTTTTTTTTAAAGATTTTATTTATTTACTTGACAGAGAGGCAGGCAGAGAGAAATGGGGGAAGCAGGCTCCCCACCAAGCAGGGAGCCCGACTTGGGGCTCTATCCTAGAACCCTGGGATCATGACCCAAGCCGAAGGCAGAGGCTTAACCCACTGAGCCACCCAGGCACCCCTAAAGATTTTATTTCTTTATTTGACAGAGATCACAAGTAGGCAGAGAGGCAGGCGGGGGTGGGGGTGAAGCAGGCTCCCTGCTAAGCAGAGAGCCCAATGCGGGGCTCTATCCCAGGATCCCAGGATCCCAGGACCCTGAGATCATGACCTGAGCAGGAGGCAGAGGCTTTAACCCACTTTAACCCACTGAACCACCCAGGCTCCCCTGGCAGGATGGCTTTTAAAAAGAATTAGAAGTCATTGATCAACTAGTAATTCAGGGGATATATTATATCTGTCTATAATTCAGGCTAACTTGCTGATCCCAATGACAAGCAGAACAAACATCTCACTCAAGTCCAGAAGCAATAATGGTTTTGAATGTTGCTTACATGTTAGTAGGAATCACATTAATACAGAAGGCAACTGATTGCATTGGCCCAATTAAATTGAATTTGTACGTATTCAGAGCCTGTGTGTTTCCTGGTTTACTCCATAGATAATAGTATTCCTTATATATTTTTAATTTGAATATTGATTGCTTGATGATTTGTGTCCAGCCATGTGTTGGAATTAAATTGACTCAAATATGAATGGTAAGTCCTTTTATTCCTTCTTATATGAGGAAAAGAATTACCAATTTTTTTTTGTACCCTTGATTTTGAGGCACCTCACATTCTCCAGGAGTTCTCAAAAAATCCAGCTATTAGGTCTTAATTGTAACACATTAAGCTTGAAAAGCTATTTTATTTTTTAGAATACTTTCTTTGTTATTCTTCATTGACTTCCTGGAATACTCTATTTTTTCAGTTTCCAAAGGAAACCAAAGAGTGTACCTACCAACCAAAAATACATGTGTAGTGAAAATCATTTATGTTTTAAACAATGTGTATCTGTACATTTATGCAGACCACTTAATAGATATTATCTAACAAAGCAACATCCAAACAAAGCCTTTTAGGCAATCCCTAATTTAAAAATCTCAATGGAGTGATAAAACGGAGCTTTTCTGAAGTTCCATGACCTCTAGCAGGGTCCCCAAGGCCACAGCTGCCTGAAGGGCGGCAAGTCTGTAATTAGAAGAGATGCCAGGGTGATCTCAGAATAGAACTTCCAGCGACCTGGGCTACGTTTACAGAATCAGCTTCTCTAGAGCAACAGCAACAAAGAAGGGCCTTCCTACTTAATGTTTGGAAAAGGCCACCTGATATGGGGACTCGGGATTTTTGGTGTTGGTGTTAGCAGGAATCAAAAGAGTTGGAGAAAAGCTCACTACGGCATACTCAGGAACAGATCAACGCATGCTACTCAAGGGAGTGCACTCACACTGACACTTTCTCAAGAGACATATCCCCTTATACTCCAACTTTTGGAATTCAGTATTTTTGTCACATGAACCCGTCACACTTGCAAAGTATGGGCTTGGTATCTTCAGACGTAAGTCCTTGGGTCACCTCGCTAAGTCACTTAGCCTCTTCAGGGGCTTGGGCTCCTTTATTGGTTGAAATCAACAAGACTAATAAACATGTTTCAACCATTACATGTGTGTTCATGTGTTCGTTGCAGAGGTGAGCAGATTCTGGACACCACAGATTGCTAGCACTTAGTTAAAAATGGTCATGGGGCCACCTGGGTGGTTCAGTCAGTTAAGCATCTGACTCTTGATTTTGGCTCTTGTCATGATCTCAGGGTTGTGAGATCAAGCCCAGGTCAGGCTTGGCATTGGGTGTAAAGCCTGCATGAGATTCTCTCCCTCTCCCTTTGCCCCTCCCCAACCCCTACCTCCCTCTCAAAAAAAAAAAAAAAAAAAAAAGTCATATTTGGTGTTGGAGCCATAAACTTTTAATTTTAATTTCAAATCAATGGCTATCCTCTCTCTGGGGCTTTTATTCTTCTTGGCTCATCTCTTTTCTCCAGAATCCTATCTTTGTCTTGTACAGAATTTACAGTCACTCATTCTCCAGTGGCACATTCTGAGGGATTACTTTGATAGGTGTTTTCTTGGGAACCATAGCCTTCAAAATTCCAAAAACCATGATTTTGGTGGTGGGATTTATTTTTAAAAAGCCTTTATGTATTTATTTATTTGTCAGAGAGAGAGAGAGCATGCGAGCACAAGCAGGCAGAGTGGCAGGCAGAGGCAGAGAGAGAGAGGCGGATCCCGACGTGGGACTTGATCCCAGGACCCTGGAATGATGACCTGAGCCAAAGGGAGTGGCTTAACTGACTGAACCACCCAGGGATCCCTTGGTGGTGGGATTTTAAGCACTGTGACAGGTGAGTGGAGGGTGGGTGATAAGGCCGGGGATGGAGAGTCTGGGACGCCTATTCAATTCCCTGATCATGCTTGGAATTACGGTATCAGCTCCTCCAGGAGATTTCCTTTGTATCTAGAGGGTCAGAGTTTACTTTTAACTCTTGGCAAGACCTGGAGTTTAATGGTTTGGCATGGGAAAAACTTTATAGGCCATGGCTGGTATCCGAAAATGACACTAAAAATCAGCTAATAACACCCTCTTTGTTTACAGTGTCATTCTTCCAAGGAGGTCAAATGAACAAAATTCACTTTCAGAAAATCCCTATGAAGCAGGGAGAGCATACATAGTCTCTTTCTTTTACAGATGAAGAAATGGAGACAGAAATTTGTACATCATGGGGTTTGGCCACATTTGACTCAGAACCCAGTCTGTCGGCCAGGGTTATCCTTTGAGCCAAGGCAAGATGCTCGCCCCAGGCTTCAGAAGGCTTGAGTCTGGCCCTCCTCAAATTTCAACTCTTCTTAAGGGTGAGCCATCCACATGGCCAAGGGGCCATGCCACCAGCGTTATGACTACCCAGAATTCCTTGCCCTAAGGCCTCTAAGTGCACTTCTGGAGCTTGCATGGGCCTCCTCACCACATCTGTCCTGAGTATCATCAGAACCACTGTTGTGTGCACCTGCCCATGTTGTGGCCTTGACAGTGGTGTAGTGTGGTGTAATGTGGAGGGATCTTGTGCAGCTGGGGTCCACATGCACACAGTCGAAATTCTCCTGGAATATGACAGAGCTGGAGGTGGGAAGAGCAGGGCTTTGGGGGCCCACCGTCCCACTGTACCACTTTCTTGCCAAAAGTCAGGTCAGACTGTGAGGAGTCCTAATGTGAACCTGCCCTTCCAGGTTGCTTCAAATACATCTTTGTCAAGGTAGGAGACCTTTATCTTACAGTTTGTTGGCTTGATTTATGACTTAAATATTTAGACAAAGTATGTGGGCCTCTGTCTGTACTTCTGCCTCTGTCCCTCAAAAATTATGGGCGGTCTGCTGCTGACTGTCGTGGCCAAGCCAGAGGAGGAAGCTGGAGAACTGGAATGGCTATATAATTTCACAACTGTGATTTTCTAGCTGCACTTTGCAAATCTATAGAAGCCAAAACACAGGCTTTGTGTATTTATCACTGGGGCTCCGACCAATATAATGAAAATGTAAAGGGGACTGGTTCACTGTGCCATTTTTTTGTGGCCTCCCACCTCCCCCCAGTTTGCAAAGAGAAGGAGGAAGAGGCTTTTCATTGTCCCTTCCACAGATCTGGGAGGCCCAGTCTGGGAATCCCAAAGGCAATAAATAAATCTCCTATTGAATACCAAAGTCAGGGTTTGGGGTGGAAAACAAAAACTGCTAATTATCCGGAGGCTGTCCGTCCTCTCCCACACCCTGGGCATTTGAAATGGAAGGCTAAAGGGTTGGTGTCCTGAGGGGTTTTGGCCCTCAATCCCTCCGACTGGGTAAAGTAACAAAGGAAAAAAAAAATGCTGAAAGCAGGAGTTTAGAGGAAGCGATTTCCACTCATGCTATTGGCCGAAGGAAACGTGGAGGAGACAGTCTCTGACTCAGCCCCAAGCCCCAAGTTTCCCGCTTTTCCTAGGCGGGCAGGCTCGGGCAGGGCAGGGGGCACCCACCCTGGACCCGCTGGGCCAGCAGCGCCCGCCACTTCCCGCCCTCCGCCCCTAGCCCTGCCGGGAGCAGCAGGACGTCGCCCGTTTAAGGGGGCGGGGCGCGGCTCCACGTGCTTTCTGCTGAGTGACTGAACTACATAAACAGAGGCCGGGGAAGGGGGCGGGGAAGGAGGGAGAGAACAGACTTTGACCGATAGTAACCCTGGCGCTCAGCGCAGCCGAATCTATAAAAGGAACTAGTCGCGGCAAAACCCCGGTAATTCTGTGGGAGAGTGAGTGGGGCAGGGACCCGCCGAGCCCAGCCGACATCTCTCTCCTCGGGAGCAGGTGGGCAGGGCAGGGGGCGCCGCAGGACCGGCGCAGCCAGAGCCAATTTCTCGGGGGTGCTTTGCTCTTTTCCCCCTTTTAAAATTTTATTTTATTTTATTTTTTTCCTTTTCCCCTTCTCCGGAAGGGTTTTTCAAGGGGTGGGGGAAAAAGACGCACGCACAAAAGTGGAAAACAGGTAAGAGGTTCTCCAGTCACTTGGGCGTTATTGTTTTGTTTCGGGGCCGAGGAGGCTCTGGGAAGCGCTGGGTTTTGGGGACTAGTCCGAACCCCCACCTCTTGCAGCGAAAGTGGGGCGGGGGCGGTGTAAATGGAGAGGACGTCCTAGGACGAGCTCCAGCGACCCAGAGACGCTAGCGCTGCTGCGTTCGGGGCTCACCCGGCGGTGGGGCCGGGGAAGCGTCTCTGGGCGTGGAGACCCAGGAGCTGTACCGCGGGCGCAGTGCGATTGTGTATGTGTGTGTGTGGGGGGGATTCTGGTCTTACTGGGGGCGCTGATGCACGGGGTGGGGGTGGGGGAGCGGAAAGTGGCAGCCCCACCTCCGAGCGCTTCCCTTTGTTCGGAAGAGCCTGAGCCGGCTGGAAACCCCTCTGGCTGCGGGTCGGCCGGCGCCCACCGGGACGAATGCCAGCACTGAGTCCCAGTGCGTTCTTTAAGGAGCTGGTCTGAGTCAGGGTCTGACCTGGGGATCCGCCCCGTCCGCCCCCGGATTGGAGTGGCGCGTTCTTGTTCCCCAAGAACTCGACTGGTTGGTGTCCCAAACGGGGTCTGTAGCGCTGTTGATCACTTGAGGCCTCGGGGGCTTTGTCTGACTTGGGGTCCTGCGTCTGGTCCCCATGCGCTCCCCCAGCTGGTGTCCCTCGCGCAGCGAGGGGACGCGTTTTGTTCCTTTTAAAAACAAAAGACTTAGAAGGAGAGCCTGCGGAGACCTGGAGCTGAGATGCCAGTTCCCCTACCCCCCCCCCCCCCCCATCCTTCCTGCCCTTTGCCGTTTAGTCTCCTGGGGCGGCCTCAGGCGGGGCACGGATGGGGAAGCTGGGGCAAGCCGGTGCCGCGGAATGACCGGGAGTAACCCCGGCGGGTGGCGTAGAACTCGAAGCTCCGCCGCGGGGCTGGGCCGGGTGGGGATGGGGGAAGGCTGGGCTCCGGCTGCCGGTGGCCCCGGGGGACTGGCCCGCAGCGCCTCCTGTCCGAAAAGCCTGGGAATCGATCCGGTGGCTGGAGGGGGTCCGGGCTTCACAAGGGGCCGTCGCTTTTGGGTTCCGACTAAGATCCGGTGAAGACGGGTGGTTGGAGATTGGGAGGAAGCCTGGGGGATCAGGCTAAAAGGCCGGTTTTTTTGTTTGTTTGTTTGTTTGTTTAATCAGAATGTTTCCCGATTCCCAGACCCTTGTTACATGAGAACGTTCTTGGCGTGGGCCAATGCCATGGATGTGTGTAGGTGTCTGTTTCTCAAGCACTTAATCTTATAGAAGGAAATAAACAAGGTGTGCGTATGCGTGTATGTGTGTGTGTGTGTGTGTGAGAGAGAGAGAGAGAGAGAGAGAGAGAGAGATGGAGAGAGAGAGAAGCATCAGGCTCTGGAAGTAATTGGCCCTTATCTTTTGCAGCATTAATACCATCACCTTTTAAAGCCCCAAACTATTATTCAGTGACACTTCACAAAGTGAGTGGTATATACATTAACGTAAAAGAGGACAAATTTGATATTATAAAACATTTCCCTGGTGATGAAAATCAGCAAGTCACTTTTTAAGGCCCCATCTGCACCCGCCCCCCCCCCCCCAGTACCTTACAGCATTTTCCAAGTTCAAAGGCAGTCTTACTGGTTCTTTTAACAATAGTTTGGAACCCAAACATAAGTTTTGATCTTCTTTTCAGACAGAACTTAAATCCTAACTAACAAAGTGCTTCATTTCTCATCTCCCCTTTTATTTCAGCCCATTTTCCCTCATCCCTACCACAAAAATAATGGAGGTTTTCTGTTGTTTGAATCATTCCTTTGAGACACTTCTCCCATATCAAAGAAAGTGTGAAAGCATGAAGAATGTTTTGGAGTAGAACCTCTTCAGATAGAATAATAATTTTCAAGTACAAAGTTTCCATTGTCAGCCTGTTCCCCAACTGCTCCTATAAAGCAAATAATTCATGATAGAGTTAAAAAAAATATATTGGATATGCGGGGCGCCTGGGTGGCTCAGTGGGTTAAATAAAGTCTCTGCCTTCAGCTCAAGTCATGATCCCAGGGTCCTGGGATCGAGCCCTGGATTGGGCTTCCTGCTCAGCGGGGAGCCTGCTTCCTCCTCTCTCTCTGCCTGCCTCTCTGCCTACTTGTGATCTGTCAAATAAATAAATAAAATCTTTAAAAAAAATATTGGATATGCAGAGCAAATTGGTATCTACTTGGAAAAAACAAAAACAAACAGCAGTAGAATCAGAGTGACTAGGCTTAATGATAACCACAATCCATTTAAGGGACAAGAATTGCAATTCTAGTCCGAGTAATTCCCTTGCAAGGACAAGTCTCATGTTCCAGAATAACATAACCTGATTTTGAAGGGGCCACCTGTGATACGTGTGTCTCCTGTCCTCATGAGCTTTTGAAATCCCAACTCTCCTAAATATTTTAATTTACATCTAAATAGAGGCCTGTAATGGACACATTTTTTACTTACGGGATATTTACAGCTCATTTGAGACTATGGTCAGTCTAGGATTGAAAAAGGGTGGTTAGGGCTTGGTTGTTTTCAACCTCTGCTCTAGAAGTCCAATGCTTACATTATTAAAAATGAATGAAACTCAGCAACACAGCTTTTTATTATCTTCTGTAGTATTTACCTTATATGGAGAGAAGTTGGAATATTTTTCCATCAAAAAATTTGTTTAGGGATCTGACCTCCCATCAACCAAGTGACTTATGCTAGGCTCACAGTGATTGAGAGTTGTCAATAGTTTTGCTATTTCAGTTTTTAGCTCATAATTAAGTGACATTACCTTAGACTCTTTAATAATGAACATTTTGGATATCTAGAAATTACCAGTAGACATGTGGTTTTGTATTTCTAAAATACTCTCAAATCCAAATACGTTTTCATTTACTGTCTGGGTATTAAATAATGCAAGTAAAATGCTCTTTATGGCTGTTACTTTGGCATCAGCTTTTAAATGATCTTTCTGAAAATTTGCTTTATTTAACTGGTCTGGGAGAGGGCCTACATAAAAAAAACGGAGACCCTCTTCATATCTGCATGTGGAAATAATCATAAATGCCAATGTTATTGCAATGTTTATTTAATAGACACTGTATAGCACTCTGTACCAAGCACTAGGCCAAATGCTTTTCAAATTCTAACCAATTTAATCTCTACAGCAAACCCATTTATTATTCCTGTTTTACAAATGAAGAGACTGAGAGGTTAGCTAACTTGTCCCTGGTCACACGTCTTGAGAGTTGGCAAAACTAAGATTTGAACCCAGCCAGTGAGTCCCAGAGTACTTTAATGCCCACACTAAACGTTGAGGTGGGAACAATTTCAGCTGCTGTAAGCAGAGGACTTTTGAGGATGCTTGTTATGTTTATGGTACATTCATCTGCTGGAGACCTTATCAGACTCTACAGCCTGTATTGTATTTCCCTTGTTTGTTGGGAGTGAGCCAACCAAATTTTCTTCAGCTTGGGACATAGGTTGCACAGGGGATTGCGACACCATGGAAAGAACAGACAATAAAATTTACTCAACTCGAATACTTTTCTTGGTTTAAAATGAAAATTTTACTATTGCTTCAGTCAGGTATTTGTGAGTAAGTCTATGCTATCAAAGTGTTTTCCTGTGTAATACATATAGAATGGAAGGGCAGAGTATTTGGCCATAAAAATCTAAAGAACAAAAGACAAAGGAAGGAGAACTATTAGTTTAGCTGTCAATTCTAACATGGGAGGATTTTTTTTTTTTTTTTGGTTGTAGTACAATACAGTTCCTGCTTGTTCTATCCTTAATTATGTTGTGGATCTTTTGAAATAAGCTATTTCTCTGTTATTGCTATTACTGTCTAGGAATCAAATTTAGCCATTTCTTAAGGCATCTTTCTTTTAAAGTAATTACAGTTTCAAAGTCTGCTTTGTAAAAAATTAAATTATGATAGCAAATTAGAAATCAACTCTTAGAAAGTATTTCTGCTCAGTTAGAAGCAGTTTCATTTATTGTTGATTTACTGGGTGCTGAATGTTGATTTAGGCATTTTACATGATGATTCGGTTCATTGTCATGAGAACAACGTGAGGGTAGGTACTATTATTATCTTCATTTTACAGAGGGGGAGACTGAGGTATAGACAGGTTAAGGAGCCTGCTCATGGAGTTTGTTAGGTAGTGAAGCTGAGGTTGGATCAATTTCCATGAATTTACCAATATCCAGATAAGGACTTTGTCAAAATACCCAGTTTTGACAAAAGAAATAGTAGCAAAAGGCAAAGAGTGAGTCTCCTTTTCATCTGGTTATTTTAACCCCAAAATAGTTTCCTGGATAGGTGACCAGCGTACATGCTATTAGAATGGTACATTTTGGAGGTATTTAAGGCCAGAGAATGAAAATCTCATATGTAAAATTGCTTTCAGATAGAGTTTCAGTTACTCTGCATTCCATTGAGATGATAAACTGTAGGAAAGCAAAGGATTCATGCTGACAGCAAATTGCAGGTGCATCACACATGAGTCCTGGAACAAAATAAACTTTGAAGTCCTGTCTGTTTCCATTTTGAAAACTTAACTTTAAGAACTGATTTGAATGCCATTCCTTTCGTAAGCTGGATTCCCTCCTCCCTGCCAACACAGAGTGAAAATTATCCCCTTCTTTTTTACTCCCGTAAGACGGATCACTGCAGTGTTCATGCCATGTATTTAATTGCATTCTTTTGTTATAATTAACATTTGTTTGTATTCCTCTTGAGTGTATGCTTCTCCTTGAGAACGTCTTTGATTCATTCTCCCCAGTCTTTAATTCAACCCCCTTGATGTGAAAGGGGTTCAATAAAAGCTGACTTGAACGAGTCAGACAAAGACAACAGGAAACTAATGTTTCCTTGCTGTATTCTAAAAGACAAATTAGAATGATGGCATAATTGTAGAAAAGAATTAGAAATAGAGGGATGTGAGTTATAATAGTTAATTATGAGTTACA